AAAATGTTGCCAGATGTTCTGAGTGACAGCAGGCTGTGCGGTGGGCACAGGAAGGACACCCTGGGAAGCGGAAGTGCTCTGTCAAGGCCTGGCCCGGAGCCAAAGTGCCTGGGGAACTTCTGCAAGCTAATTTGGGCGTGGTCTGGTCGGATGGGGCGTGGCCTGGCGGGACTGGGCGTGGCCTGGCGGGACTGGGCGTGGCCTGGTTGGATGGGGCTGGCTCTTGTCAGTTGGGGGAGAGTCGGTTGGATGGTGTGTGCCCTTGGCGGGGCTGGGCGGGGCTTGGTTGGATGGGGTGTGGCCTGGATGGATGGGACGTGGTCTTGCCAGTTGGAGGAGAGCCTGGTTGGGTGGGGCGTGCCCCTGGCAGGAGTGGGCGTGGCCTAACCGGACTGGCTGTGGCTTGGTCTGATGGGGCGTGGTCTTGCCAGTTGGGGGAGAGCCTGGTTGGATGGGGCGTGACCCTGGCAAGACTGGGAGTGGCCTAACGGGACTGGGCGTGGCTTCACCAGATGGGGCGTGGTCTTGTCAGTTGGGAGAGAGACAGGTTGGACAGAGCGTGCCCCTGGCAGGACTGGGCGTGGCCTGGACAGACTGGGCGTGGCTTGGTGGGATGGGACGTGGTCTTGTCAGTTGGAGGAGACCCATATTGGATGGGGCGTGCCCCTGGTGGGATGGGGCGTGGCCTGGCAGGAATGGGCGTGGCCTGGAAGGAATGGGCGTGGCCCGGCGAGACTGGGCGTGGCCTGGTGGGATGGGGCATACCCTCATCAGTTGGGGGGAGCCCAGGTCAGATAGGGCGTGGCCTGGCTGGATGGGGCGTGGCCTGCATTCTGGGGAGGAGGGTGGAGCTGAGCAGGTGGTCTTGTTGGGTGACCTCAGATGTCACACCCAGTGATTGGTCTTGACTCATTTTGGGGCCCCAGCCCCTGGGAACCAGAAGTCCTCATTTCCTGGTCCCAAGTGTCCCTTCAAGGCAGCGACCCATGTCTCCTGGTTGTCTGGACACCTGTCCTCTGCCCTCACCCAGACGCGGCTGCAGGAGAATCGCAGGCGCGGCCACAGGTCCCCGGAGGAGAGCCACTCTAATGAGATGGCTAACCTACTTTGCAGACTCAAGTGGTTTGGGGAGCGCCTGAGGTGCCTTGGGAGGGAGGGGACCGCAGTGCCACCGCCAGAGGCCCCTCCGCAGAATGTGCCTGTTTGACCACAGGGCACCCAACGGAGAGAGCGCGTTGACCTGGTATTGTCCCTTGGTGACCCACCTCCAAGCCGGGGTGTTTGATTTCCTCTCTTCCCAGGGCTTAGCTGGGTGCGAAAGAAGGGCCACCGTCCGTATTTGTCCTGCAAACACATGACATAAAGGACATCTGATCGTCCCCGGGGGGTGAGGCAGTGTCCAGTTTCCCCGGGGAGCAAATCCGATTGTGCACTGAGGCGCTACCTCCAGCTTTCTCACGTGTCTTTGGAGAGAGCCCATTTCACAGATGGTGGAACTGAGGCTCCGAGGGGGAAGCCACATTCCTGAGGTCACCCGCCTGCAGCTGGCAAGTGACTCATTGGCTTCCCACTAAAATCTTAAGAGCTGCAGGCCAGGCGTCAAGGAGAAAACTGGGGAGGCCAGGAGGCTGCCTCCTCTCCAGTGACAGTGTCAGGGAGGAATTAATATAGGACTCGACCATCAGGGGGGCCAGAGGAGCTGATTGACCAAATAAATAACAGGAGTCAATTAAAGAGAATGGATTTCTTGGCTATTTATAGAGATGGCCTAAATCGCAGGTATCCTCTGTGCCCAAGGAGGAAAAGGAGACTTTTTTCCCCGATAGGCCAGCCTGTGCACAGGGTGGGGGAGCTGATGAAGCCCTGTGGTGGCTCAAGAGTGACAGTTCAAGCAGCCACGGGGGCCCATGCCCCTCATTCTAGCAGTTTGGGAGGCTGAGGCAGGAGGATGGCGAGTTCCAAGCCAGCCTCAGCAATGTAGCGAGGCCCTAAGCAACTCAGCGAGACCCTGTCTCTAAATAAAATATAAAGTAGGGCTGGGGATGGGGCTCGGTGGTTAAGCACCCCTGGTTCAATCTCTGGTACTCCCCAGGGGACAGCTGGGGACGCAGGAAGGGAGGGAGGCTGTGGCTCTGTCTTTGGAAGCTGTGGAACAGGAGAAAACCCTGGGGTTCAGTCCCTTTCCCGGTGAGTTGGGGAGATTAGCCACACCTCTGTACTGGAGCCAACTAATGACTCCAAAGAGGCTGAGTTTAAACGGCTAGGGGAGGAAAATCCCTTCCCTAGCCTGAGGGGTAGTTAGTTGTCACCGCAGGGGTCCTGGAGAAAAATGAAATGGGAAAGCACTGGATGATTAGCACGTGGCCTCTGGCTGTCACCTCTGCAGCTATTGCCCCTGCCATCTAGCCCATGAAGATGGGAGCCATGGGGCAATGCTGTTGGTGGGATCCCCAGCACCATAAAAATAATAATAATAATAATAATAATAATAATAATAATAATTAATTAAAAATTTTAAAAATAAATAAAATAACAGCAATTCCGTTGACTCCTGCATCGGGTTGTAGGGGCGGAGTTAGTGGCATCAAAGGACAGGACCAGGCGATGCCCCAGACCTCGGTTCAGTCTAGGATTGTGGAGTCCATTCATTGATTGCTGCCTGGGCAAACTTGAGCAGGTCACCCAGCATCTCTGAACTGCCAAGTGGGGTGCACCTGCCAAGTGGGGTGCACCTGCCAAGTGGGGTGCAGTCTCTCGCCTCCTAGGTGAGACTGACTGGGGTTGAGGGCGCTGGGGTCGTAGAGCCTGCAGCACCTGCTACTCAGCCCTGGGAGCCAGTATTGGCCGCCTGGGACTTCTTGGCTGCTCCTGATTGGCTGCCTGGGATTGGCTTCTCATGATTGGCTGCCTAGGATTGGCTGCCTGAGATTGGCTGCCCAGGATTGGCTTCTCAGGATTGGCAGCCCGGGATTGGCTTCCTGGGATTGGCTGCTCAAATTGGCTTCTCAGGATTGGCTGCCTGAGATTGGCTGTGCAGGATTGGCTGCTCAGGATTGGCTGCCCGGGATTGGCTGCCCAGGATTGGCTGCCCGGGATTGGCTGCCCACTTAGAGAATTTTGCATAATTTAAAGACTTTCCCAAACGCCCCTTTTGTCCCCTAAGACCTTTAAGACGATGATGCTATGAAGACAGTGACCTTTGGAACGAATTCGGAGATAAGTGAGCAGCCATCCTCAGGGACAAATGACTTCAGAAGGAAACTCTGAAGGCTGAGTCACCAGTGGCTCCTGCCTAGTACAGTGCCAGGTCCACAGTGTTAGGTGCAGTCTGTGTCATTTCAATCCCGTCATCTTGGAATTAGGAAAAAAAAACTGTCACTATGACAGTGACAGTGATAAACCAGGGTCCTCAGCCCATCTGGAACAGGGCTCTAGAACATTCTGCCATCTGTGACCACCAGAGAAAGGAGGGAGGATTAGAGTTGAGGAAGGAGCCATCGTCCACCAAGAATGGTGGGTGGCTTCCAAGGGACCCCCCTCTCCTTTTATGTGTGTGCCTGGTCCTGGGGACCCAACCCAGAGCATCCCACGTGCTAAATGATCTACCACCAAACTACAAAAAAAAAAAAAAAAATTTCATTTTGAGACCTAAGTGGTGGAGGCTGGCCTCCAATTTGCCATCCTCCTGCCTCAGCCTCTGGCCCTTTGCTGGAACTACCCTGGATCCTCTTGTGTGACTCCTGTCCTGTGAGGTCACCAACAGCTGTGGTTACCTGGGAAATGGGGTTCCGAGGAGGAGCAGAGTCTTTCTGGAAGGTGGGGGGAGGGTGCAGGGGACAGACATGGGACTGCTTGGGGACTTCCTGCTTCCTGGGGACCCGAGGGGCACGGGGGTCTTCCTCGGAGGGCACCAGGGTCCCCAGGCTGAGGACCTGCCCAGCTCGCCCCCTCCCCTGGACCACCAATGGGAACCTCTCTTCTCCCACCTCCCCAGCCTCTCCTCAGTCAGTCCCTGAGCGCACCCAAGGTAGGTTGCCGGGTGCACAGGGCGTGGGCAGGGCTGTCCCCAAGGACCCCCGGAGGGATCTGGGGACAACTCTGGGGTGTCTTGGTCTGGGAAAGAGGACTTGAGCTGACCCTAGGAAACCCCAACCGTTCTAGGGAGCCCCAGAGAGGAACCCCCAACAGGAGAGGCTGAGGCTTTTTATTCAGCCTCCAATAACCTCCTCCTCCTCCGCCACCTGGGCCTCGGTTCTCCCATCTGGGAAAGGGACGGAGGGGGCTTTCGCAGTCTCCTTCAAGCTCACCCTTGAGGGGTGTGGACCGGCAAATTTTAGCTTTACCGCCTCCGGGGGACTTTTATTTTTTTTTTACATTGCCGAGGCTGGCCTCCAACTTGCGATCCTCCTGCCTCGGCCTCCCGAGTCGCCGGGAAAGGACAGGCGTGGGCCACCCGGTTTGGCTCTTCAGGGAACTGTCTCCCGTCCCCTCCCCAAAACCAGGAAGAGGGGGTGGTCAGCAGGTTTCCACATCTGTGCTCAGATCCACCAACTCAGGGGACCCATGTCACCCTTCAGTCAAGTTTAATGGCAGAGACAGCAGGTCCCCTCCCCCACATGGCCCCTGTAGCTGAGGCGGCCAAGAGCCAGGGAGGCCCAGGGAGAAGCAGCTGAATGGAGGACCGGGCGCTGAGACACCATCTGGGACCCTGGAGATGCTCCTCAAGGCTGTGGCTGAGGGTGGAGGCTGAGGGTCGAGGCTGCTACTAGGTTCAGGGAGACTTTTTGGGGGAGGAACCAGGGATTGAACCCAGGGTCCCTCGGCCACCGAGGCCCCCTCCCCAGCCCTATTTTGCATTTTATTTAGAGACAGAGTCTGGAGCAGGGAGTGGGTCCCCAGCTGTGGCTCCTGGTGACAGAGTTGGGGACACCCAGTCCTGAGCTGGCTCCTGGTGCGGATCTTAACGCTCGGTTTTTCTTGCAGCCGAGCAGTAGCTGCAGTTAGGCTCCATCTTAGAAAAGGCTGGAAGTCACCCGTGGTCACCGCCCCCGACACCAGCATCTGCTGACTGACAGACCTAGACATGAGCTCCATCTACCCAGGTCTGCACCGAGGTCTGGCGCCTGCTGTATACCACCTGGTAGGGGATGTCTGTGGGGACGGTCCCCTTCAGGTTTCTGCTCTGGGAGCAGAGCCCTCGCCAGGCCTGGTGGTGTGGGCTGCGGAGGAGGCTGGCCTCCCGATGGCTGTCTCGTCACGAGGTCTGCTCTTGGGGACAGAGCTGCGTTCCTCCATCTCTGGGAACGGAACCCCTGAGCCCTGTCCCCAGCCCTTTTTCTATTTTATTCAGAGACAGGGTCTCCCTGAGTGGCTCAGGGCCTCGCTAAGTGGCTGAGGCTGGCCTCCAACTTGCGATCCTCCTGCCTCAGCCTCCCCAGGCGCGGGGATGACCGCCGTGCGCCACTGTAGGCGACTCTCTTGGGGGGACTGTGCTCCGACACTTCTGCAGGTTTCAGGTGACCAGAAACCCGGCTTCCGGATCAGGGTGACGGAGGGGACCCCGTGGTGCTGGGTACTTCCGAGGGTGGAGGCCGGCAGGAAGGCTGTTGGCCGATGCGTCCAGCCCTGGGAGCGTCCCCTGCTGCGCCCACTGCCCAGATGGTCACACTGAGGCCGAGGCCCCGGAGCAGGGACCGGTGGCCACAGAGCTGTGGCTTCCTGCAGAGCCCTGGTGACAGACTCGGGGACAGCCAGTTCTGAGTGGGCACAGGGCCCTTGGCCACACCCTTGTGACTTGTGTCCCCCAGGGCCCTTCTTGGTGTGTGTGTAGAGCCAGGGAGGGGCTGCCACCGGGGGTTTGCTCTTGGTGGCGAGGTGACAGGAGGCCAGGTGACAATCTGCAGAGCTTCAAAAAGCGGAAGTCCCAGGAAATGGCCCCTTTATGGCCCTGGCTGCTGGGTCTCAGGAGCCGTCCACCCCTCCCCGCCCCCACCCACGTCCCTGGAAGCCAGGCTCCGCCCCGGGGCTGGGGGAGGGGAGGGGGTGGCACTGCCTGGGACAGGAGGTGACAGCTAGCTCCGTGGGTGTCACCGGGAGCCTGTTGCCGGCTGACTCACCGCCTGGGCGGTGGGGGAAGGGCATGCAGATCCCTGTCACCTGTCCCCAAACCTCAGCCTCCAAAGCACACACCTCCCCCCCACACCCAGGCCATGCCAGGGAGGCCCAGTCTGGAGGCCGCGGTTCCAGAAGCTTCCTGTGTGCAGAATCCTCAGGTGGATCTGGCCCGTGGGACCCACAGGTCCCCACAGGTCCCCAAGCACCAGGACCCGGGGGAGGGGGGGACACGATGCCCCTCCCCCTCTCCACCCGGCCTCCTCCTTCCTCCTCCGGCTCCAGCCTCCGTTACAGGGCCATCTCCTCACCCAGGGGCAATTGCTTGGGGTGACCAGGGGACCCAGTCCCATCGCCCCTGGACTCATCCCAAGTGGGTCCCTGTCCGAGGGCCTCAGCTGAGGATGAGACAAGACTAAGGGATGGGAATTCAATGGTCAGAAAATCCCACAAAAGCCCCAGGAGAACCCCTAAAAACCCCCTCTCAGGCCGGGCACCAGGGCCCACGCCTGTCCTCCCAGTGGAGGCTGAGGCAGGAGGCTCGCGCGTTGGAGGCCAGCCTCAGCCATGGAGTGAGGCCCCTTGTCGGTGATAAAACAGAAAGACGGGCTGGGGCTGGGGTTCAGGGGTTCAGTGCCCCTGGGGTTCAATCCCTGGGACCAAAACCCAGACCAAAAAACAGTGCCTGGTTTCCCGGATGAACTTGGCTCAGGAGAGGCCACCCGGGGGCTTGGTTAGCCTTTGCCCAGAAATAGGTGACCAAAGGCTACTGACCGCATGACTCCACTCAATGATTAAATCTTTCTTTTTTTTTTGGTACCGGGCATTGAACTCAGGGACACTCCACCCCTGAGCCCCGTCCCCAGCCCTATTTTGCATTTTATTGAGAGACAGGGCCTCCCTGAGTGGCTTAGGGCCTCGCTTTGGCTGAGGCTGGCCTCCAACTCTCGATCCTCCTGCCTCAGCCTCCCGAGCCTCTGGGATGACAGGCGTGCGCCACGGCGCCCTGCCCCCCCCCCTTTTTTAATAATAAATTTTAGGATTGAATCCAGTGGCTTTATACCCCCCCCCCCCCAGCCCTGATGATTTTATTTGGAGACAGGCTCTCTGCTAAATGGCTGAGGCTGGCCTTGAACTTTGGATCCGCCTCCTTGATCATGTACCTCACCCCCCTGATCTCCCCGCCAGGTCACGGGGCCCTTCACTTCCCTATTTGCCCTTGAACCCAGTTCCCTAATTTGTCATCTGGTCTGTGGCTTGAAGCTGCCTTCTTTATTTTTAATTTTATTATTATTATTATTTTTATTTCTGGTCCCAGGGATTGAACCCAGGATCGCTCAACCCCTGAGCCCCGTCCCCAGCCCCTTTTTTATATTTTATTGAGAGACAGGGTCTCGCTGAGCTGCCGAGGGCCTCCCTTTGGCTGAGGCTGGCTTTGAACTCACGATTCTCCTGCCTCGGCCTCCTGAGCTGCTGGGATGACAGGCGTGGGCCCCAGCGCTCAGCTCCCTGATGCTTTTAACACAAGAATATTTGGGAATGGCTCAGGAAACTGTCATTAGAAGCAGCTTTTGGCCCAGAGTGGCTACTCGGCCGTCTGATGCTGGTTGACAATTTGGGGACCAAAGGACTGTTTTGCAAACCCCCCGTGTGGCCGGCCCCAGGTTGCATCTGGCCAGAGCTTGACCAGGTGATCTGCTGCCAAGTGGGCCTTCAGGCACGGCTGGATCTGGCCGCCATCCCTGGAACCGAGACACGGGGAGGGTTTTGAGTCGGGCCAAGCGGGAGGCGTCCTCCCACAGCGCCTGGGTCAGGGCCACCACGATGGCTGGTGGCTGTCAAAACCAAAGAGGAAGCTCTTAAAATGAGGAATTATGTATCTCTGCCGCTACAGAATCACCCTGGGCGCCGGGCCAGGAAAAACAGCTCATGTCGGCAGGAAAATCGACCGTCGCACGCCGGCAGAGGGGACCCGTGCCCGCGGCCGGACACTCACGGCCCCGAGGGGTACCCTGGCTGGAGTGTCCCGGAGAGTGGCCTCATTGGGAATCCATAAGAGATGGGCGGAGGCCCGGCAGCCAGGGTGTCCTGTGAGGTCAAGCCGGGCCATCTGAGAGGGACAGGGAAGGCCTGGGTGTCCTGGCACTACCAGCTCAGCTCAGTGACCTCAGAGCATCTGGCACTTGCTGATGTCACCCAGAGTCGCACGAAGCAGCCTTTCCACGCTGGTAGAGATTAGAGCAGTTGGATCCCAGCAGCTGGCACCCAAGTCCTTGACCAGAGAGGTTGACTCACTTGCCTGAGGTCACCCAGCAGGGGGAAGGGAAGGAGCTCCCGGCTTTGGGATCCAGGCTGACACTCTGGGATTCCTTATGGGGACAAGCCAGGAGCAGGGAGGACCCCACAGAGCCCTGCAGGTGACAGCCACCTGCCCTGTCCCTTCAACACCCCCCCCCCAACCACCCTGGTTCAGCCCCAGGCAGCCCGGCCCGGGGCCGTGGAAAGAGCTAGAATCCTGGTTCCACAGGAAACTAGAGGGAACCCAAGGGGCTCGGGGATTTCCAGTTACCGCTCTGCCCCAAGTTTCTAGAAGGTTCTCTGCCGGTGTGAGGAGTCAGTCCTGCAGCCCAGAGATGGAGGGAGGACTCTCCACCTGCCACCAGCCCTGGCTCCTGGGGGGGAACCAGCCTTTGCTGGGCACGGTGGGGGCTCACGCCTGCCCTCCCAGCGGCTGGGGAGGCTGAGGCAGGAGGATCGCAAGTGGGAGGCCAGCCTCAGCCAAAGCGAGGCCCTGAGCCGCTCAGGGAGGCCCTGTCTCTCAATAAAACGCAAAACGGGGCTGGGGACGGGGCTCGGGGGTCAAGTGCCATCTCTGAGTTCAATCCTCTCCCACTAAAGAGGGTGGACGTGGTCCCTGAGCCACACTGTCCCCCGGAGGGGAGGCCCAGACATCCTCCCACTAGAGGCCCACCCAGCCGGCCCACAATGAGTGTCCCGATAACCATCGGGGGCCCCCGCTGGAACAATAGTGGCCGCTGGGGCTATTTTTACAGTGGCCTGGCCCCACCGGGCCCTGCGGATGCCCCACCAGACAGAGGAGGGGCCCGGGGGCTGCCCGGGGCTGCAGGAAGCCTCCTGGGTCTGCCTGTCGCCAGAAACAATCGGGGTCCCCCACCCCAGCCAGGGACAGGAAGAGGTGGGTCTCGCTGTCTCCTGGTGGCCCTGGGGCCGGGCCTGCACGCCCCAGTCCTCGGGCCACCCGCCCTGGCCTGCTGCGTCCCCCCCAGAGCTGAGCGACCTKCAGATCCCTGGGAACCGCTGACCCCAAGGCGCTGCCTGATGCCCTACTGTGTGCCTGCCAGGGGCACCCCAGGACGGGCTCCTCTGGTCCCCAGGGGACACCCCACCCCTGAGCCCCGTCGCCAGCCCTGTTTTGCATTTTATTGAGAGACAGGGTCTCCCTGAGCGGCTGAGGGCCTGGCTTTGGCGGAGGCTGGCCTCCAACTCTCGATCCTCCGGCTTCAGCCTCCAAAATGAGCATCAGGCCGTCCTGCGGCCCCCCCCCCCAGGGCCCACCGCATGGGCCTCACCCTTTGGCCCCGTTGTGTCCCCCCTGCCTAGAAAGTGATCCGATGGCCACCAAAGAGAAGTTGCAGTGTCTGAAGGACTTCCACAAGGATATCTTGAAGCCGTCTCCCGGGAAAAGCCCCGGCACCCGGCCCGAGGACGAGGCCGAGGGCAAGCCCCCGCAGCGGGAGAAGTGGGCCAGCAAGATCGACTTTGTGCTGTCCGTGGCTGGTGGCTTCGTGGGCTTGGGCAACGTGTGGCGGTTCCCGTACCTCTGCTATAAAAATGGTGGAGGTGAGTCCAGGGTGGCAGCTGACCCTGCCCCCCGAGGGTCGGGGTGCCTTCTCTCTGCACCCTGATTTTCCTTCCCCGGGTCACCCTGTCCCACCCCCGGCCCCAGCTCACCCTAGACACAGGAGAAGAGCGTGACTGAGAATCAGGGTGGCCGTGTTCTGTCCCGAGTCTTGCTGTGTTACCTGGAGGTGCCTCCCACCCTCTCTGATCCTCTAGTCTCTGAAAAGGCGGAATAAAGTTGAATATTCACACTTGCCCTTTGTAAACCCCCCCTGGATTTATTGCTCCCCACTTTATCTCTCCTTGACATTGGCTTTTTTTTGGGGGGAAGGGGGTACCGGGCAGAGAACTTGGGGGCATTCGGCCACTGAGCCCCGTCCCCAGCCTGATTTTGCATTTTATTGAGAGACAGGGTCTCGCGGAGTTGCTCAAGCAACTTTGGCTGAGGCTGGCCTCCAACTCGCGATCCTCCTGCCTCGGCCTCCCAAGCCGCTGGGATGCCAGGCGTGGGCCATGTGGTTGGGGTGTTTTCTTGTTTCGTTCTGTTTTAATCCTGCCTGGCGAAGGAGGTGCCAAGGTCCTGTGGCCACCCCGCCTCCCCGGCCCCGAGGTTTTAGGGACTTGGAGAGAGAGCTTGGGTAGGTCGGAATGTGCTCAAGCCTGGCCCCGTGCCACCCTTTCTGGGGACTTTTCCCTTAGAGCCTGGTTTCTTAACCTTTCGTAGGTCTCAGGCCCCTGGGGGGGCTCTGATGAGGGCCCCAGACGCTCCTCAGAACCAAGCACCCACCCTAGACCCAAGTTGCCCACAGTTTCAAAGGGTTTATGGAACCCGCTGAAGCCATTAGTGACGCAGGTAGGACCCCGGTCCCCCAGCTGTGCCCCGCCTCCGTCCCCTGGCACCCCCTCCCCACCCCCTGCCCCCCCCCACCAGCTGGAGAAGAAGCCACCCTGGGGTTTCTCGTGGCGGCTGCTGCGATCCTTCTAGATCCTTCCAGCGGCTTCTCTGGGCATGGCAGGTGTCGGAGAGGGTCTCGCAGGTGGAACAGACCCTACTGAGGCAGGCGAGCCCCTAGGTGCAGCTCGAGCAAAGGCCCTGTGGCTCCGAGGACCGGGGGCCGATCTGGAGATGGCTGGGGTGGGGGCGGGGACACGTGGGAGAGTCTGGCCCTTGTCCCTGCTGACCCCCTGCCCCCGTCACTCATTCTGTCTCTCTCTCAGATTCTGGTGGCCGGGAGGGGTCGGGAGCGAGCGCCTTGGGTGCCGGTCACCGCCCTGACGCTGGGTCCCTCCTGCCTGCCCCCCGACAGGTGCCTTCCTCATCCCGTACTTCATCTTCCTGTTCGGGAGCGGCCTGCCCGTGTTCTTCCTGGAGGTCATCATCGGCCAGTACACCTCGGAGGGGGGCATCACCTGCTGGGAGAAGATCTGCCCCCTGTTTTCTGGTGAGTGGGGGGTCCCTGTGCTGCGCCGGGTTTTATTGAGCAGCTACTGTGCCCCAGGGCCAGGGGACGTGCCTGATGCAGGTCAGGAAGGGGCCAGTGGGGACAGCCGACGGGGTGCTCCTGCCCTGGCCCCTGAGGGGAGGGGACACGGGCCTGGCACACAGTAGGTGCTCAGGGGGTCCCACCCGGCTGCTAGGAAGAGAAGGTGGCGTGGCCCCCCAGGGCTCTGTGTTCCCAGGAGGCGCCGTGTAGACGGGAGCCGGGCCCCGGGCAGGAGGGCGACTGGCCCAGCCACCCGTAGACGTCCACTCCACCACCCTGTGGGCCACGGACCAGTGATCCAGTGACCAATAGTGATACTGGTTGATAGATGATCAATGAGTCACTAGTGCGGTCAGGCGGTCAGCTTGCACCATCCACCGTCCACCCACTCAGCTCTCCACTGCCCTGGCCGACCCGCCAACCAACCACCACGCCTGGGTGCTCTGTGCACCTACTGGGTCTTCATCCACCACCCACCACCCACCATCCGTCCACCCATCCGTCCATCCATCCATCCGTCCATCCATCCATCCGTCCATCCATCCATCTGTCCATCTGTCCACCTATCCATCCAT